TTTGTGTAGTGTCTGACCATGGTGTCGGGGACGGAGGCGGGTGGGGGAGGGGGGGGGGGGGGGGGAGCTTTACAGAGGCTCTACGGCGGATCATGTTTTTGTTCGGCGCCAACAATGGAGTAACGGGATTTTGCCCCGCTCGGTTATTGCGCTGTGGTTCAAAGAGGCGCATCAAGAGACACAATTTCATACTGTAAAGCGGTAAAAAGAAAAGTGTGTTCGTTTCTTTACACTTGCGTTGGGTTGTCGCCCTTTGCACGCTGGGGGTGGGAGAGGGTTGGGGGGTTATAGACGCATTTTACGCACGAACAGCAGCCCTGCTGGAAACTGCGTGTCCATTAGACACACGCGAGCACACAAATGCGCACACCCATTCGTCCAGCAGCAACAGGCTGGAAGAGTTTTAAAGCGTCAACAAAGCTTGGAATCGGCACAAAAAGGGCAACTAAGCCTCATCTTACGCTCTTTCTTCTCTCTCTACTTTTTTTTTTTATATATATGTTCTTACCTTACAATGATGTACATGACCAGCACGTTTCCCACCAGCCCCACCATGCAAACTATGGAGTAAACAGCGGTGATTATGATAGCGATGATGACGGGGTTGGCGTCTCCGTCCTCCAGGCTCCGGGACACACCGTCGTACCCGCTCCCGTCGCCGCCGCATCGCATCTCCGGGAAGCTGCCGTTGTCGGTGAAGTTCCGGCAGATGCTGCTGTTCTGACCGATCAACTGGAGCTGGCTCCGGAGGTCTGAGCTGTTAGCGGCGCTCTCCATGGCCCTTTGCCCTCCCCTCTGTTTAAGTGCTTCTAACTACGGCTGCCCGTCCGCGGAATCGGAGGCTGCGTGAGGTGTTCGCTTGTGCCGTGTGGTGCGCTCCGCACGCAGGACAAGTCTGAGCCGCGCCGCGACGTGCTGTAGAAATGCGCTGAGAAGGTAGAGAGGGGTGAGTTCACTGACGACCCTCTCGTGGCACCGTAACGCCGCGTGGGAGCAGACAGGAAGCGTGGAAGTGAATAAATTTTCGCTCTTGCTTTATTTTTCCAAGCGCCGCGTCTCTCCGCACCATCCTCCTCAGTTCATGTTCCTCTTGTAGCTCACAAATCAGGACTTCATTGGTTCCTCCTCTCTCTTCCCGACCTGAACGTCTTTCCCCCCCCCCTTTCTCCTCTCACTACGCTTGCATCCTACCTTCTCTCTTCTCTATTTTCTACTCAGATCATAATTTTTTTTTTCCCCCTTTCATTCCCAAACCCCCTTATAGCTTCCAGTCAACCTATTTGGAGGTTGATCGGAACTCGGAATATATTCAATATATTTTTGCTTCAACTAGTTAGTTCAGAAAGTGAAACATGTGGCATAAATTCACTAAACATATAGTCTGAAATGCATTTCAGTTGCTTTTTATTTCTGTGGCGAATGAACAACCAAATTCAGCTCCTCGTGAAATTTATATGATCACACAAAGCCAACAAAAATATATATTTAAAATTTAAAAATGACTCATTTTGGACCTTCTTTGGTATGAAGTCCTGCTTCCAGTGCAGCATGGCATGGAGGCGATCCACCTGTATCGCTGAATGGAAAACAAGATTACCTCATAATATTAGATTTTGTGTCTATTATCTTGCTCTTGACAATATTCCACAGATTATCAATGCAGTTTAGATCAGGCCAGTTTGTGACACCATAGTGACTAAAGCAGATATTGGAACAAATTCATAGCAAAGCGGCAATAATACATTAAAATCAATACAAAACGTAACTTCATTCTATGCTATGCAGACACTCTGTCTGCACTGATGAACATTAAGTTAGTTTATCACGCTGAATCAGAGTCGCCACAAGGCAGACACACCCATTTTCTGATAAATGAAGTTAATCATTTGACCACTGGGGGGCGTTCGCTGAATGTTGACGTCTCATCCCAAAATGCTCCTGTGATCTTTCAGCTTGGCAAAAACAAGAAAACATGACACCAGTGCAGTGCAGTGTTTTATTGATATACACACAATGTGGTTGGTCAAGAGTTTAGGTAAAAAAGAAAAAAAAATGCATTTTTGGTAAGAAAAATAAAATACAGATTCAGAAGTACCAGAGCAACTATCGGTTACAAAAGTTGTGCAACCTCAAAGTTATTAAAGACAGAACTGCAATATTTTTAAACGTCTTTCCTTGAACATGTTGTTTTGCGTATGTTCTAAGATGTTTTGAGGAGTTCTCTTTGGTGGTAGACCTCTGTGTTTCGTTTTTTGCGCTTCATGCACCATATAAGGCGAAAAGGTTTAAAACATTCTTGCTGGCATGAACCACTGTCTTATTTTTAAGTTTGGAATCAGTTTGGGATCAAGGAAACATCCGCTTTTCGTCCCGACCCTCCTCAGACTATCCATCGGTTTCCTGTGACCGAAGACGTCTCGTTGTCCGTCTGCTGGAGTGAGGTCGCCTTTGTTCTTAACCTTTCACCTGAATCCCACTTTTAAAGATTAAAGATGTTATTTCAACAGCAGATCAGTCAGTCTAACACATTTCAATCCAGTTTTAAGAGTCTGTCCATTCATCAAGCTGTGGAAACATTAAAAGAAAGACTTCATAATGACGACACTTGATTTTTTTTTACTGGGTGTTCAAATAGCTCAAGATAATTTTATTAGATTTTTTTTATAGTTTTTGTATCACGTTGTCCTTTACACCAACGTTCTTTGGCATGTAAAACTGTTTGCACATACTGCCAACAGCAACAGCATTTAAATCTCGAGGACAAATCATTCTTGATATATTAATAAGGCTTCCTTCTTTACTAAATAGTTTTTTTTACCCACATATTTCTTTTCTTTCACCTTTTCAAAACGTCTCTTTACTTTTCTTTCTCTCCTGTTCCTACCATGATCATTTGAATGAACAGATGAATACACAAAGTGATATTCAAACTTGCATACAAGTAACTAAAGATCATTTAAGTTGATATTTAGTCAAATGCCGTCATCAGAATCATACATTTTCATTTTCATTTCTTGATTCATTCAATAAAAATGAGCAAATATACATCAAATATTTATCATTTATCAACGTTCCAGTTATTATGAATCAAAGCATGAAGAGGTAGGTTTTTAGCATGAATTTAAAAGTCCTATATTATGGCCAAAAAAATCTTAGATATGAAGATTATTAAGAGGAAATACAAACAAAATAACAAACCAAAGGAAAGAGCAGAAGAAGAAAAAGCTAATAATGTTGATCCATATAATCTCGATATTCCTATTCAGGGTTGGTAGATAAGTATAAGTAAGTATCCTCTGGTCTGATTCCTTTTCTGGTTTGGATTGTCGAATCCACTGCTGGTCCGAGTCAAAATGTGGACAGGATGATGAGTTCAAGATTAAAGATTGGTGTTTTCCTATTTCTTTTACTTCAGACAGACCGTTTGGCAGACACTACTGCGATCCAATGAATATCCAAGGACTTCACACCAAGGCTAAAGTTGTTTCAGAAGAGGAAATCATTTTAACTCTTGGTTTCTTTAAGACCGAGATGATGACCACCTCAAACATGAGCTCTATGAGGCAACACAAGTGGCTGAGAGAAAGGCGCAGCACGGGACTGAATCATCCTTTAAAGGGGATTTTACAACTCTCCTTGAACTGCTCCGTAAAAATGAAAAAAAGGAAAAAAAGATTTTCATCAGTTGCTGAGTTGTGAGCACAGCTTGTCAGTCCTTCAGCTAATAAAAAACCATAAGCACTCAACAATGAATGATGACATACCCAGCAACAATGGAGTGCTTAGTGTTAGGAGAAGGACAAGATGACTGAACTCGGATGAGTTCGTTCCTACACTTTACCCAGCAGCAACGGAAGTAGCAACACATCGCTGTCACGATCCTTTACATACGGAGGTAGCGTGCAGAAACACGTCTTGCAACTCGTTTTCTGTAGTTCTCACACTAAAAGAACATGTGCTGCAGTCGAGTTCTTTGATGCCGTATAATGAGACTGCGATTTATTATTAAATCTATTTACATGCAGGAGGCGTCCGATGCTGTCCCCCTTTTTTAAATCCTACAGAGTTCAATGTGAAATATTTAGGTGAATAAACATTTGAAACTTCGTCGCAAGGCTACACTTGACTGCAGGCCATTTAAAAAAAAAAAAAAATGTTCCAGGTGTCATCCTTCTGCTGTCTGTGTCCCCACCTGTGCACCCCAGGGACAGAGCTACAGGCAGAGTGTTAGATCCAATAATATCATTGTTGGGACAAGGCTGTGACATCTCAGTGGGAGTTGCATCGTTTATCTGGCAGTGGCTTATATTTTCAGGGAATTTTAATATGTCTGAAACGCCTGTGACAGGCTGCATAATGTGATGTTGAAATTTTAAATGGCGCAGTGCTAAATATGTAGAAAGGTAACGTACGTTATTCTGCAAATGGGATTCTTCCTTTGAATGCCACTGAAATAAAATGAATCACCAAAGAGGAATGTGGATAAGACAAAAGTAATGGGGGAGGAGGGTTATCACTCTCTCAAAAACTATCCGAGATCCCTCTGTGGCCCACATTGGGTTTGTCAGTACTCATAAATGTGTTGGCTTTATTTTAGATGAAGAGCTCTCTTTTAAAAATCACCTAGCAAATTTGCTACGAACATTGAAAATGACGATTGAGTTTTACCATCGTCACTGATCCTGTTTCTCTCTCAAAGCTAGAAGAAAGTTCTCCAGTTGTCCACGTTCTTACCACTCCTGGATTACGGAGATGTTTTACGTATGAATGCTTCCACCAAATGTCTCCAGTCATCGAATTGTTGTGTATCACTATGCTCTAAGGTTTGTAACAGGTAGCAGGCGTGTTAAACGTCACTGTGAGTCGTATGCAAAAGCTGAACGGCCTCCTTCAAGCGTACGGAGAAACAAATCAAACTCTACTCGGCTCATTCATTGGACTTATTTCGAGCTGTTCTTAGAAACATGCGCTGTGATTCTGTCAACCAGTGTCACTGCTTTTAAACTGATTTGTAATTTGTTTCAAACTTGAGCATATGTTTTAGTTTGTTGTACTGACGTGTGTTCCAGATTTCTGCCCAGGTCGATCTTGATAATGAGATCTAGATCTCAACGGGGCTTTGAATAAAGGAAATAAAAAAGGTTAAATAATTGGACGAAAAACTGCCACAGTCTATAGAGTTGTTTGATGCCTAAATTGTGTGACATACAATGTTGTAATGATGTGTTAACTCTCTAACATTAGAAAGTAACGGCTTGCCATCTGATTGTGTGTTTAAACCCAAGTTATAAATTGTGCTGCATCAAAGAAGGTATTTTATTTTTACTGAAAAAAGCTTCTGGCACTTTGTTACCAACATGCTGTTTCAAAGACAGAATATGTTCATGTTTCTGTTTTGAATTTATGAAAAGATAAAGTACAAAATAGGAAGCAGCAAAAAGGTTATTTCAAGGATTTAATAAATAAAAATGTTATGCACCAGAGTGAGTCAAACAAAGGACAATGTGTCTTAGGTCCTGTCGGCTCCTCGCTGGTTTTTCCCCCCTCCCTTGTCCTTAAAGACATTACTGTTCATCAACTTCAGACATTTTTCTCACATGCTTCTCCAGTTGCCCACACTCCAGATTTTTCCGTACAAACTGTACCAGCTGCAGTTATGGTCAGATAGAAGCACTGAAGGGAAAATCTATGAGCCCTTCAAAGAGAATTATTGATCAAGATTACTTTGGAAAGAGTAATGAAATACAGCCTGGCTACTTGGAAACAAACTATAAAGAAATGGGACTTGATTCAAATTCTCTGCACAGGGTGTTAAAAGTCTACGAAGGAAAGTTTTCATCACATTAGTGCTGATGTGGTGTCGTTTGTTGACACTTTAAAGCCGCTATACGTTTGCATGTTTCTCTGGGATTTTATGTCATAGACCAACACAAAGTGTCTCAGTTTTATTTTATTTTATTTTTTTCATCTTTTAATAGTTGAAAATAATTGCTGTATCAATCTTCCAGACCATTCAGGTTTTCTGGTTCTGGTTCTGCTCTGGCATCCCCAGAACCAGAACCAAACATGGAGAAGCAGCATCCAGCTTCTATGCACCAAACACCTGGAACAAACTTACAGAAAAGTGCAAAACTGCTGAAACACTGAGTTCCTTTAAAATACAAATGGATAGCATGCTTTTCAGATTATATTTCAGAAAATATCTAG